AAAGACAAAAAACAAAAATAGAAAAAGAATTTGAGATATGGAGATAAAAAAGCAGCAGCAAACCTGGCCACACAAATAGGCAAAAAAGCAGAAAGTTGGAAAAATAAAAAAAATAAAAATAAAAGAATAAAAATAAAATCAAAATTAAAATTAAAATTAAAAACAACAGAGGGGGAAGGCCTCCAAGTGGAGAAACAAAAAGAAAGGAAAAGGAAAAGAAAAAAGGAAATAAAAGGGGACAAAAGAAAGATACAAGGAGCAGCAAACCCTAAACCCTAAACCCTAAAAGGGCGGAAAGAAACGATTGGAGGGTTGGGACTGTCGCCAATGGACCTTGTGAAAGGAACTTCAAGCAGCCAGCCTCAAACCCTAAACCCTAAACCCTCAATTCTAGACTATGTACCCTAGACTTTGAATCCTAAGTTCAAAACTCTAAACCCTAAATTTTACACTCTAAACCCTAAACGCTAACGGTAAACCGTAAACCCGAAGCCCTAAGCGTAAACCCTAGACGCTAACCCCAAACCCTAAACCCTAAACCCTCAGCCAAAAGTCCCAGCCTGTGCAGCCTTTTTCCTGGGTTAGTAATTTGAAGTTGGGAATACAAATTTGGTCTGAGTGTCTCGAGAACTTCTCTAGAAAATTGTTAAATGGATTAATTTGATTAATTGAATTAATTTTAATTTGATTTAATTTAATTAGATCAATTAATTAAATTAATCAAATTAATCAAATTAATTCAGAATTAATTGAATTAAATGGATTAAAAGATACTTCAAAAATTCAAAAAAAGAGAAAAAGAAAAGTTCCGTTTTCTTGGCTGCTGCTTCTGCTGCTGCCAGCCCGCGGGCTTCTTCTTCTATTTTTAATTACTTTTTATCTTTTTTAATTTAAATTTAATTTAATTAAATAAAGAATAAAGAACAACAAAAAATAAAGCAATTTAATTTCCAGAAACGAAGGCCTTAGGTGTACAGACACCCCAGGGATGTGGGGCCGCGCGGGGCTGCATGCGCGCAGCAGCAGCAGCAGCAGCAGCAACTTGTTATTCTCTTTGTCAGTTGGCATTTCTAAGTAATAAAAGGCATTTTCTTTCATTTTTCTGCAGCAGCGAAGTCCCCGTCTTAGAGGATGCAGCAGCAGCAGCTGCAGACACCGCACATACGCCGGATCTAGGGCTTAGGGTTTAGGGTTTAGGGTTTAGGGTTTAGGGTTTAGGGTTTACGGTTTGGCTTGGCCTCTGCTGGGGGAGCGGCAGGCGCACTGCTGCCGGCCGAAGACGAGGAAGACTGCGCTGCTGCCCGAAGGCAGCAACAGCAGCAGCAGCAACTGCCGCAGCCGCAGCAGCAACAGCAGCAGCAGCAGAAGCAGCAGCAGCAGCAGCAGCAGCAGCAGAGACCGCGTCTGCAGCAGCAGCAGCAGCAGAAACGCCCGCTGCAGCTGGAGCTGAATCCCCGGCAGCAGCAACAGAGCTAGCAGCAGCAGCACCCCCACCACACCAGCGGCCGCAGCAGCAGCAGCAGCACTCCCAGCAGCAGCAGCAGCAGGACGCATGTGTCTCTGCAGCAAGAAGTATCGCTGCTGCTAGCCTGGGCTCCGTGAGGCCTGGAGGAGACAGAAGGAGCATCAAGGAGACACAGCAGCAGCAGCAGCAAAAGAGTTGCTGCTGCTTCAAAAGACAAAAGAGACAAAACATTAATTTAAAAATAAAAAGAAAATGGGAGTCCCCACTTTCTACCGGTGGCTCTCTTGCCGCTTCCCGCGGGTGGTCGTAGACGTTCTTGACCAGCAGCAGCAGCACAGCAGCAGCAGCAGCAGCAGCGCAGCAGCGACAGAATCAGCAGCAGCGCAGCAGCAGCAGCAGCGGGAGGCGGAAAGCAGCGGCCAGCCCCCCGAGGATGACCCGACGCAGCAGACCCAGCAGCCAGCAGACCAGCAGCAGCAACAGCAAGAGCAGCAGCAGCAGCAGCAGCAGCAGCAAGAGCAGCAGCAGCAGCAGCAAGTGGACTGCGACTGTCTCTACCTGGACATGAACGGCATCATTCATCCTTGCTGCCACTCTGAGGACGGGGTGAATTTAATTAATTAATTAATTAATTATTATTTATTTATTTATTTATTATTATTTTTCTATTTATTTGTTTAGTTATTTATTATTTATTTATTTATTTATTTATTTATTTCCACTGTTTATTCTTTTCCTCTCCTGCATAACAAATAAAATAAAAACGTAAGTTACAGCGATTTAATTCGTTTGGTTTAATTCAATTAATTATTATTATTTATTTAATATTATTATTATCATTTATTATTTATTTATTTATTTATTTATTTATTTTTTATTTTTATTTTTTTTATTTATTTGCTGCAGTCCAGTCCCCCCTCGGAGTCGGAAATGCACCAGGCCATTTTTCTGTACATAGACCGCCTCGTGGAGATAGCGCAGCCGCGGCTGCTGCTGTACCTGGCAATAGGTAAATAAGAATAAAAAAAATAATAATAAATAAATAAATAAATAAATAAATAAATAAATAAATAAATTTGTTTAATTGGCTTTAATTTGCCGGCCTTGGTGGGGGGAGGGGGG